TGACGTTGTTCACTTCAGCAGAGTATACAATAGCACAACCGCCCCCTGTGAGTTCGTCTGTTATAGCTTGCTTTAACCGGCTAACAATGTAAGCCTTGACATCCTTAAAGTTGCTGCCCTTGTTCTTGATAGTGTGAACCACATAGCGCAGGTTTGGTCGTACAGTCAAGGAGCGGAACACTTGAAATTCTGTTTTAAAGAGGACAGATAGATCGCTTTCCCATGGTGGAGGCAGTGTAGCAGACAAAAACACCATAGGCACCGGTACCGTTCGAAGCTGTGCTAGTTCACCCATGGTAGGCCGAAACGAGCTCCACGTAATCACCAAATGGGCCTCATCGATTATAATTCTGCTGATACGGCCTTGTGCACTCATTGTGTGTAGCATGCTGACGAATTTTTGCTCCTTTGCCTTTTCTGGTGTAACAAGGATGATTTTCACCGAAAGCATCATGCCATGGTCGAGAGTGCCATCATACGTACAGTAATCGATCCCTGAATCCACCAAACGGCGCGCCATGTCTCCCAGTAGCGTTACGAGTGGGACCACCACGATTGTTGTTTTATCCTTCTCGATCAAACTAGGCGCCATAAATACTGCGGATTTGCCACCGCCGGTTGGCAGCACTACAAGTATATTTTTCTTTCGTTCGATTGCTGCGATTGTTGCTTCTTGCTGAATCTTGGACTGGAAAGTCGCAGAGGGTTCCTGCAGCAGTAGCCGTAATCCTCGTAGAGCCTTTGCTTCACTTGACATATTGGTCACATCAGGAGCACTGCCTTGACAAGCGGCAAGTGAGCGATTCGCTCCTTCTTTGATGATTGGAATTGCTGGTCCTCCGTTCACTATTGCATTCCGTGCTAAATGTTACAACTGGTTAAAGTCTGACTCTATCGCCAAAAGTGACGCATCGCAAAAAACAACAACATTTACCTCGACGGTGCATGTCCTCTAAAATCATATTCCTCATCAAAGCATGATTCCGTGCTTCGATATATGCTGCATTTTCCTCGATAAGCTTGTTGACGTTTTTGATTTCTCTTTTGCGACGCTCCAACAACGGGTCGCCAGATGTATTGCTAATTTGTTTTTTCTCGATCCCTATGTTGTTATATAGCCAAAAAAAGTTATAGTTTATCAGTCTAGTCCTCACAACTTTTTACACATCATTTTTTCTTTAAAAGATTCTTACCCAAAAGAGTGTGCCATCTTCTGCTCATGTCAAAGTACTTTTGCGCTGTGATTGGATCCAAAAAGCGACTGTCGATGTTGCTTCTAGCATACTCCAAACCGGCTGTCGCTGTTGAGTGACCGGCTTGTAGATCGAGCTCCTCTGGCCAGTCTTCAAGATCCTCCTCGTCAACGTGCTGTAGAGTCTTCTTTGCGCCAATCAGCTGACGTGCGAACGCGATTGACACATGGCGATGGTCGGAAAAAGATAACGGTGGATCCATCTTTTTGGCATATATCCATGCGAAAATCCGACGAACCTTCTTTCCAGTCATGGCAGTACCATTCTCAACAAATAGCCGCTCCATGCAAGTAAGACGCGCTTCTGGACCATAAAGATGACCAGTAAAAATACTGAAAATTTAAAGGTGGGATTAGCTTTTGCTTCATCAAGACCACAACAAACCAATCACGATACAAGATATAATAAATACTACTTACCATTCAAGTGGGCGAAAATATGCCAAATACCCTGTGAGCAAAACTGCAAGTTTGTGCGGTAGATACCTGGCAATATACTTGTCAGAGCATGTCAGCTCTCGGCTCTTGTTGTACCGAGTGATGACCATGATGGTATTATAAGCGACACCCCAAAAGAGGGACCGGTCGCCATATTGTGTGTTGGTTATGCATAGCTGAGCCAACTCTTCGCCTCGACAAGGCTGACCATAGCTCAAATGCATTGCGACAATCAACAGCTTTTGAATGTAGACACATTTTTCCAACCAAGCAAAGATTGCTGCCTTGTTCCATAAGATTGTTCCAGCTCGATCGATGGCCTCTACATATTGGCTCCTCCAATTTCCATTCCTCAAAAGTGCAATGACGAGAGCATATCGGACACTACCAAATTGGTTACGACCGTTCATAATGTATGAGTAGCCGACGTCTGCAAGACCCATGTTGTCACATATGTTGTTGGTGTCTCCTTGGCAAAGTCCCAGTACTAGATCCTTGACATTGTGCATGCCGAAGGAGAAATCTGCCGAGTTTAAGACAGCCTCGATTTCGTTCATGCAAAGCTCCACACAGATCTGGAAATGATTGATAGATATCTTGTTGCTTGTGTTGGCCACAACGAGCTCGCGATAGTTGGTGTCTGGGACCCACAGGATACGAGGAAGTCGAGGCTCGTCACCAACAGCTGTTGAAGCAACCTGCATCACCTCGCGCAATGCATTGAAACTCGTTGGCTTTCCATCCTGCGTATATATTCGTATTTCTTGGTAATACTACACAATAACATATTATTTTCGTTCAGTTACTCAAATAGTTGCATATCATCAAGAAACAGTATATATAGTTTGCACGTCCATTTTATTAATAAAATCGTATTATTTAATACCGACGTATTAATACGATCGTATTTTTATCTGTGTAATACGGACGTATTGTCCTTTCAAAAAAATATGTCTATATTGTTCATTACTAGTGCACTACAGTGAACCCCCGCTTTTTGCAACAGCGGGAATACCGTCAAAAAAGTTGCAAAATCTGAGGATCTGCAAAATGTGAATATGTTACACAAGTGGGATCGATAAGCTGGCAAAGTGTAATTAGTATACACCAATTAAAAGAGTGCGGTCCATCATTATAGCTCAGTGATAATATCTACGTATAGCCTAGCTTCTTTTTGCAATCATTACTTCTTCTCTTCTATTCAACTTCTTTTTCATCATGGGCAAAGCCAAATATGAGAAGCTCACTGACGAGCAAAATGACATCATCTACAACTATTACATCCAAAAGGAGAAAGCTAAAGTCAAGATCAGTTTCAAGGATCTAGTTGCTTGGGCTAAAATTGAGTTGAACCTCGAAAATATGCCTCATGTGACGACGATTACAAGAATGATCCAGGGTCGAAAGCAAGACGAACAAAATGGCATCGATCGTCACAGAAAAAAGAAAGACCGAGCAAAGTTTCCAGTATGTGTTCCTATTTGCTTCCAGGTGTATTTTACGACAGAAATAGTAATAAAACAAACTATAATAGCAACTTGAACATGCATTGTACATGTGGATCGAGCAGCGCTACCATGAGCGCTCTCCAATTAACTGGAGATTGATCATTCGTGCCGGAAAAGAATTTGCACAGGATATGGGCATTTCTGAGGAACAATTTTGCTTTTCCAATGGATGGGAGAACAGATTCCAGCGTCGTTACCAGCTGAAGGTGCATAAGGTACACGGTGAGGCTTCATCTGCAGATGTTAGCCTAGCTGCTGCCAAACTTCCGGAAGTCCAAGCAAAATGTGCACAGTATGCTCTCAAGGACATTTACAACATGGATGAAACAGCAGTATTCTACTCAAGTGCCCCAACTACTACCATTGCTCCTGCATCCTTCAAGGGCGTTAAGTTGGATAAAACGCGGTTGACACTTGTGTTAACGACCAATGCAGACGGCTCTGACAAATGGTATAACTATCAAGGGGCATATTGGATAATAGAATTTGAGAATCATCCTTTGATCTAGTAGAGTGTTAACCACGATAGTTAAATGATATAATATACAAGCAGCTAATAATATTACTTACTACAGGTTTCCATGGTTTATCGGCAAATCCCAAAATCCAGCATACTTTAAGAAGGTACTTCATCATTATATCCAATAGGTGCATATTTGCTTACATAGTGTTTGTTTGTCTGGTAGAGAGGAAAGGATGGTTATCCAAACATTAGCGTGATGAATTATCGAGCAAATGCCAACGCATGGATGACGCGTGAGATTTTCTATGATTATCTCAAAAAACTAGATAACTCAATGAGGCATCAAAAACGCAAGATCCTTTTGCTGCTGGATAACTTTTCTGGGCACTTTTGTGATTACGAGCCAACCAACGTTGAGCTTTTATATTTGCCACCCAACACGACGTCGATAATGCAGTAATTGGATGCTGGTATAATCAGTAGCTTCAAGGTGCATTTCAAGTATGTACAAGAATAAGATCTCATGCATATCATGTAAGGAGAGGTGATTATTTGTATACTAAAGCAGTTAACTTCAGGAATAAGCAATATGAAAAGGCTTACGAGAAAATCAAGTACCGTTTGGAGCAAGGTCTACCAGCAAATGATGGCAAAGTTTTCCGTGTGGAAATCATTTTTGGTATGGCTTGGTGTCTTGAGGCTTGGTATAAAGACGTTAAGCCTTCTACAATCGCAAATTGCTTTAAGAAGACAAAGGTGGTAGAGGGTGCAACTAACAGCATTAGCAATGGATCCGGTTGTGAAGATGAAGTAGCCCTAGGTCAGATCAATGATCATTTGAGCCATATATATGGGAGCCATGATCTTCAAAACTTCACTTTTGATGCCGATCCACCTGAGGAAGTAGCAGCTGTTCATCCAGTGCTAACCAATGATGAAATTCTTAAAGCTGTGCTTGATGAAGCAGTTGTAGATGCAAATTCGATTGCTGAAGCTGCTAATGATTCTAGAGAGCCTTCTAATGATGCTCCATGTCAATCTCCAAAGTACACAAATCAGGAGAAGGCTCGGATGGTGGAAAAAGTCATCGAGATTCTGATTGATCCAGAACATCAAGAGATCAAAGATCAGCTTCGAAAAATTCGTGACAATTTTCGTAGAAAAAGTCAGTCAAAGCAATCAGCAATCACAACTTTCTTTATTTAGTTTAAAACCTCTCATATAATAGAATATATTAGTGTATCTCTTTTGTCACTGGTTCGGGTCTCACCGTCTCCGAAGTTTGAGGCTAATAAGGCCGAAGCGGGAAATTGCAGGTCCCGATTTCCGAGTTGCAATCTGCAAAAACTGAGGAAACTGCAATTTTACTAAGTGTTGAGCGGGAATCTGCTCAAAAAAGTTGCAAAAAGCGGGGATCTGCAATAATCGGGGGTGCAAAAAGCGGGGGTTCACTGTATCTCAAGTTGAATACATGGTATTTATTCTCAATACATATCATATTTAAGACAACGACAGATAAAAAACAAGAGGTAATAGAAATATGACGTAGTAAAACACGGCGTGATAGAAATACCACATAGTAAAAGACAACGTAGTAAAACACGGCGTGGTAAAAATACGACGTAGTAAAAGGCGACGTAGTAAAAGACGACGGAGCAAAACACGGCGTGGTAGAAATATGACGTGGTAGAAATATGACGTGGTAAAAGACGACGTAGTAAAACACGGCGTGGTAGAAATACGACGTAGTAAAAGACGACGTAGTAAAAGACGACGTAGTAAAAGACGATGTGGTAGAAATACGATGTAGTAAAACACGGCGTGGTAGAAATACGACGTAGTAAAATACGACGTAATAGAAATGCGTCGTAGTTGAAGACGATGTAGTAGAACACTGCGTGATAGAAATAAGGCATAGTCAAAGATGGTGTAGTAAGACACGATGTAATAAATAATGGCATGTTGCGACCACAAAGCAATATATAATGTAGCAAAAGTATGATGTAGCACAAATACAGCCTACTTCAAATGCAATATTATCAAAACATATCGTCTCACATCACACTGCTATGATAAGCGTATTCAATGCAATAATAGTTTTATCCCTAGCTGTACACTATGTATATAAACGGCGCATAAGCACAATTTATAGTGGACTATGTATGATAGATGATTTCTATAAGAGGGTTATACACCTTGTGCCAATAATAGCAATATTATGCTGTCGTGAATATAATGTATATATAACAGCATTTCTCGAGCGGATTTATCGCTAATCGTGCTCAATAGAACGACAGCATGTACATAACGATATAGAAGTATACTGTAACATATTATATAAGTATACACTTTGAATTTGAAACAGTCAATGTGGTTAGTCCTTATTCACAGCTTATCCGTGCTCCTTGATCTAATTGACGACGTACACCACCGTTCATGATATTAAGTTTGAAAGCCATACACTGCATTCGTAATTGCTGCTATTGAAGTACTGCAACTTAAGGGACAGACGTTTGTACCCATTTCATTGTGTCAATGTATACAGCATACCAAGTGTAAGATCCCAATCGACCATTGCAGAATAACTAACTACAAACATAATTGTGATTGCAGGAATTGTAAAAGCGGTCAAAGTCCCAAGCACAACTAGTACCACGACACCTTCTATTAACAATAGATAAAGCAGAGTAGAACAATTTTTATATACCGTCAACATCACCAAACCAGCTCTTTCAGTACATAGCGTTACAAAAGGGTATTAGGCTCTCTCTCAATAAAACCTCCTTTCACATTTATCAATACACGGTTTCTTTATTGGTCAGCGAGGATGAGAAATAAACGCATGTAATTATCATTCTAAGAGCATTCTTCTGTTTTTGACAATCTACGTCCGTCATATAACGCCAATATCATTCAAATGAAAAAAATGGATGCACAGTAAAATAAACAATAGGAAAGTTAGAATAGCAATAATACATATTATGATAGCATTACAGAATTTTCATTCTCACTTTCGGTATTGCTGTTTAGATTAAGAGCCCCTTTCACGATCTTGCCATTTGCAATTGTCAAACTAGTTGAATAATGCTTGCGCTCACAGAGAAAAAATGCGAATGCTAAATCTATATATCCGTGTGTCAACTAGCAGTGACCGACAACACTTCCAGTACCTTTTTCCTCCTCTACCAGCATCAATAGCAGTTAAAGTTCTAGCCAACGTAATCGTCATGGTCAATGCCTTGTTGGCCATTTCATTATTGTTCGATGCTCCTGAAAAAAAGAAATAAAGCAGTAAGCTGCTTCGAGAGCAGTGCTTAACATATATCTTTATATTATACATCTACGTATAAAACAAATTCTCAATTCTCCGTACTTCATATCTTTCATAGTAGCGCTCTGAATTCATTCTAATTTGCAATCTTGGATCATTTTGACGATGGCATCTACTGTAAATTGAGTATTATTGTTGTTGACGATGAACACTTCGTCAAAGAATAAAGATTCACTGTTGCAAATTGTAATAATTTTATTCAAAACACTGGCCCCCTCCCATAAAAAAAACGGTAGCATCTATCTATACTCAATTTTCAGTCTAGCTTTCGTCATGGTTTTTTTGCATATAGTCATTTTTGCAAACATCTCTTGTGAAATATGATACATACCTTTCAACCAATTCTTTTAATAGACCAGCTCAAACAAAACGGCAATCGCCTGTATACTGTATAATAGTTATACTGCAGCAGTATGTTGAAGCATACCACCATATTAAATACTATATATGTAGCAGAAAGAATCGATATAATGATGTCGTTATCGAAATAACTAATGTGAAGAATAATCAGTACCTCATGTTGATCGCTGTTATAAGATTCTACTATAGATGATATCATTCGGCTTTTTCCACATCAATATAAGGTTAAATGCATATATACAACCACATCATTACCGCTACAATCTTTGCATCTTTATACACAGAACAAGTTGATATGTAATTATTCAAAAAGTTGATAATTGCTTTTTACTCAACAGAGATATCCATATCCTTCATGAATTCAATGACATGATGCAATTGATCTAATTGAATAATTAGTATCTTGTTGATGTTGTCTGAATCTGGTCTCGCCATCTTCATGTGCACCTATCCGTATAAAGAACATAAAAGTACAAGCAAAAATAGCTCAGTACCAATTGCATATTTTTTCTGTACCAAGCAAACTACCGAATCGTGCACATGCTATGTTGTATGTGGCATTAGTAAGAAGCGCATAAAACAGTATCGTACGATGTAGTACTTCTATACTATAAGCTTTATTATTGTAATTTGTAATGGTTATTACATATTCACTCTTATATGTAAGAATCGATATACATTACGATGGCGTAATTAGACCAATCTCTTTATCGTTGTTGTTGTTGTCTACGTCTAAACTTATTACAGTAGCTTTATGACGTTGTTGTTTTCTTTGATGTGAATCCAGTCTACAATTACCACAATGTTTATATGACGTTGTTGATTTCACTGCTGATCATGATGCTTAGCTTCATCGATATTGCGATTCAAATCATTGTAAATGAGGAAGCAAACAAGAGCTTGATACTATATCTATTGTAACCTACCTTATTGTCCCCAATATCGTATCAATAAACGGGCTCTTCCCCTTAGTATTGGCTTTGTAATCTACTTGTATCACTATCTGTCAGTTTACTCTCTATCATTTTCATCACAGACTTGGTGTAACTATGAGTGCAAATTTATCTCACACCTGCAACAATACGCTTACTGCGCAACACCACTCTTACTGCGAGTGCAAAAACAACTCACACCAGGTGCAAAACCTTTTCGCACTACTGCGGTATCCATTGGATCAAGCACCAATTAAATTAGATATAGTTAGTGTATTAGAATTAGTATAAATAGACCAATATTTTGTATTGAATAATAAACAGTTCAGTTCTTTAGCTTCTCTTTCTCTTAACTTTAGCTTTTCCCTTTCCTATCAAAAGGATTGTCTTTTGTGGCTCCAGACGTAATAATTCCTGGTTGTTGAACTCCCACACTTCTATTTCATCTCTTTTGCTTAATACTTAGCATTTCATCCACATTTATCAGCTTTTCTTATACTATCCATCCTATTAAACGGGATTCGTAACTCTTACCCAAACTAAGACGTTACACTATCATATGATACTGCTGCTGACAGTCAACAAAAGTAAATATGATCACCATGATTGTATTGCCTTACTTGTATACGTGCTTAATAAAGGCATAATATATACACTGATCGACCAAACTACCGCACAGTGGTCCTCATATCAGCTTATAAATTAGAATGACGCGTTGTTCAGAGAGGTACCCTATACTGCTGCTGCGTGATCTTTTACCCATGTAAAATATGACATACATTTGCTCTAAAAAATGCAAGACTAACTCGATTTGTATACATTGATACAATAATTTGCGTTGTAAATTGCAGTATATGAGATTGAAAGCGATGAACTAAAAAAAGAAGGTCCAGCCACAAAGTGGTCCAGGTGCTGTCGTTTATGTACGCGAGTTATGTTTTTTTTTTACTTGGCGGCCCATTGCTGTATATTTTGCATTGTAAACGACGCCACCCTGAAAAGTGAAAGGCGCAAATCTTATGGGAAAATACCGAACTTGTGTTGTATAACAGTTGCTGCTATGTTGTCAATAATAAATAGTTTGTTGATCATGTCTGATATTAGCCGACCCTTTTTTCGCACAAGCCCCTTTTTCACACAGACCCTTTATTCCCGTAAATTTGTCACAAGTTGTTGACCCCTTTCAACTGGACCCTACTTTTTTTCCTAGACCCTTTCCTGTAAAAACTTGCTCCTAATCAATTCACAATTTGCAAGCGTTCTTATTACTAATCGACTCTCTTTTGTGATCGACCCTTTTTTTCAAAAGCTCACTGCATCCATTTTCCCAAATAAACAAACTGCAGCTATGATATTATTGGTTTCATGGTATGTCGACTATATCTACTATTAGACTCATTAGGCGAACCTCTCTCATTTGTTTTTCATGCTGACCGAATTACAATTAATGGTTGATCATATCAATTACTATTCAACTTCTCATCACATATTCGCCTCTACCCTTATTTTCCTAAAAAAATGAGAAATGATGTCATTAGATTACAGTTTATCGATAATAGCTATCGCTAATCCACTTTTGCTTCTAGCTGATCCTCTATTTCTAATCGTCCCGTTGCTTTGTAATCGCCGCTTTCTTGATAAGCCGTTGTATGGAACTGTCATAGTACATAGAGACTTCTACTCATTGTTGTAAAAAGAAAAAAAAAGTATAAAAGGCCGCGGTCATGAAGCCATAATTTGCTAATTATACTTCATTACATTTTATCATCGCTTATCTGCTTCGCTTTATAACATCCTTATTCTTTACAATGTCCAACTCGCCCATCTCACCTATTGATATGCGTATATTTGAATGTAGCCATGCTGGATGTGGTACTCTGTTTCCTAGCGAATACGATCGTGAACGTCATGTTCGTATCGCCCATCAGAAGAATGCAACTGTCACGTATCCCGATGGTAAGTCTTTTTCGTTTTTTTTTGTGTCATGCTATATATTGTTGTTTCCTTCCTTGTTTAAAAGTGAACAGTAAGCTAATATTGCTCTACTAATAATTTCAAATGCTTGGCTTTGTTGTGTTTTATAGGTGAGAAAATTGTGATTGAAGGGGGTGCTGACGACCTTTTTCATTGTATACACTGTACCGCTACATATACAGCAGCATCTATAAGCAACTTGCACCGGCACACGAAGGAATGCTATGGCGCGGACGACACAACGGTCGTGATGAATGTTGACACGTGTGGTAACGACGATTGTGCTGACGTCTCAGACGCCTACCTAGCCATTTAAAAAAAATCACGGAAACGGATTTCGGAAATTAATTTCTCCGAGCGGTTAATCATGTAACCGAACCATAATCCGTTTTCCAGAATACACTGCTAATCAAGCTCTATTGATAAATATCCACTGCCATGTCCGCACGCGCACTTTATAAAATAGCACGCTATGTACTGTAGCCTTTTCTGTTATATTATCTCAACTTCTGTACACTATGTATCAAATGATTTTTTTATGGAGCCTTCCATCCCTGGACGGTTAGCATCATTAGTTGTTATTTTAATTAATCCTGCATGGAAAGCTTGCGCGCCCCAAGCAACTTTCCATCTTTTTATATCAAAATTCATTCTCTTACAGTGTCCATGCTGATATCTTCTCTGTATCTGTCTATTTCGTAACATGACATATGCAACTACTGATATAACCACTCATTTTTAAATGCTTACTGTTTTGTGCTGAGGTGAAAATCTGTTTAATGGTTATTGAATTTTATTGATTCTATATTATTGGTTCTTGTCTATTTCTCAACGCATCGAAGTGAACATATACACGATCCTCGCATGTATTAATATTTATTTAGGACATTTTGACATACCTTACAGACACCCTTATCAGTGACTCTGCCGACGAGCGTCTCTGCCGATCTGAACTGGTGTCGTGCAGTGTATATTGGCTTTAGATTGACTGGCACTCCCAGTGATACACTTGCCCCTGCATTATTCTTGTCGCTTCTTGTCGAAACTGACGGATAATGTTACGATGCAGCTGTTGTGCATCCAAGTCGATGGCATGTGCAGCGATGTATGCACGTACATTTTGCGGGACGGCGTTATTTTCGACGGCAGGTGCAGCCTCATGCCCACAGGAGTGTTCGATGTTCAAGTGGAAGTAACCATTCACTCTACCGACCATGCCGCTGATGCGGCCATTGCACAAGAAAGTTGGCATACGTCGATACAATCGTAAACGAACGGCAGCTTGATCCTGCACATGTAAAATCTTGCGAGCATCGAAAAAGGAAAGAATAGCCGAACTTTCTTCGTGGTTCTGTTCGGTATGCTTCGTAGTAATGGTATCCGTCAACAGCCTGGATACAATCCCGGATGTTGATCACAAGTTGCGAATCTGACAACGCCAACATATCGTCGTCAAGTTGCACATATGCGTCGAGGCTGTAATCTTTGAGACTGTCGGCTACGTTCCTCAAATTTTGACGCGAAGGAATCAGCTCGAGTACTTCGTCCACTGTCAGGAGTAACTGCTCTGCGATTAATTTACCGACGTCATTTTGGCATTGATGGATATTTACACGTATTGTAATCTTATCTAATGCTAACAAAAAATTGCAAAGGGCGATAAGATCTGCAATTACTACATCTTTTCAGTTGAGGTTGCTCGGGTGTTTCTTGGGATTGGATTTGTTGCTGATTTTGCGGTTCCATTTTGAGGAAGAAGTGAAAAAACCCACTGAAAAATGGATTTTGGTTCGGTTACATGATTAACCGCTCGGAGAAGTTATTTTCTGAAATCCGTTTCCGTGATTTTTTTGAAACGGCTAGGGCTAGTCGTCTCAGACGAGTTAGCACCAGTTATGCAACAAGTAATCATGAATGTTGGATCTTCCATTGCTCCACCGACTGCAGATGAAGGAAGGCCCATCACCAGCGACAACCGCCTTCTAAGCTGGTTTTATTCTCATCTCAAGTGGAATCATTATGTCGCCGATTCGTGCTCTACTGGTAATGATAAAAAACCGTTTGCTTCAATTAGTCATGATATTGCACCTTTGAATAATGAATTCTATACTAAAAGCTCTGATATAATTTGTTTCTCTCATAGGTGCGACTATGCAAGACCTGGTCGACCTTATGAAACCAGTTGATACAGGCGACGCTATACTGCAATACGTTATAAAGGCCGCGCGATTGTATTTTGACTGTATGCACAATAATATTGATTCGATGGACTACTTTGTCCGGCGCTTACTGATGCATGACGTGTATGTATACTGTAATTTCTTTTCTCATTTGATATTGTTATTTTGTATTCTTCTTGTCTGAATGACTAACATCGCCTCTTCGTCCAATATATGCTCACAAGTGCGCAGGAACGAGTGCCCAAGGTTGGTTTCCAGAAACTAGGAGGCGATGGTAGCGTCCACAAGTATGCTACTACTGGTGTACATTTGATATTGTTCTTGATCCGATCCAGGCATAACAAGTCATTGTATTTGCTTTCTCCGCCTATCGCAATTACAAATCTTGTTGAATCTCTTGTCCTTGTTGCCACCGCTGAAACGAAAAGACCAGATGTGGAACGGCAGTATACAAGTGCACGACGGTTAATTCACAAAATGATGTTGATCGCGCTCATGGAAAAAAAGCCACTGAACACCCCTCCCTCTGGCTACGTGCTCATACGGTTCCTCATAATCAACTCATTGGATTACACTGGCAAGTTTGTTCCTACCCGTGATATAACCCCGGTCATCGCAAAATTGAAGTATTGGTTACGACTCGTGGTCTTATGTGACATCATGCAGCCGTCCGAAGTCGATCATGCTTTAGAGAAGTAAGTATTCATATCTATATACATATTTTTATCATAAACAAATATTCCATGACGTTTACAGTAACTTAACTATTGTTTTCTGAAGACTCGAACAAACGTATGCTCCTTTCCTCATGGATGCCTATGCAACTCCATTTGGTGCACTTGTTGAAATAAGCCGTCTTGCATCGACATCAGTGGTAAATGATTCCCGCTTGCCTTATATATTCTGGTCCACAAAAGGAAACTTTACCGAGTTGACTTTGGCTGGCTCATGTGAAACTGTCAAGCTCCATCATATATCACATCTTGCTAGTAGCATTATGAAGAAAATTGAAAACGAAATAGCCATGCTGACACACGGTATCAGTCTCGATGTGATATTGGGCATCAGTAACAACTCCTACCTTGCTCTGTATGATGAGCCGAACAATACCACAATCGGGTAGTCATTCATGTACAACCTATAGAATTGCCACGGCGATTACTTAGTAGGTGGAGTATACCTAGTATACCTAGGTATACCCCAGGTATACTCAAAATTTTTATTTGATATTTAAATAGAAAAACGGTCCAGGAACACGATTTATTATGTGGAAAAGTCTGACTTAATGAATAGGTTGTGGAGATATAAGCCATTTACTATTGAGCACAGGGTAATCCCCAGTAAGTATGCCTAGTATACCCAGGTATACCCCAGGTATACTCAAAATCTTTATTTGATATTTGGATAGCAAAACGGTCCAGGAACACGATTTATTATAATGAAAAGTCCGACTCAATAAATAGGTTGTGGAGATATAAACCATTTATTATTGAGCAAATGCAATCCGTACTCAGTATGCCCAGTATACCCTAGGTATACCCCAGGTATACTCATAATTCTTATTTGATCTTTGGATAAAGAAATGGTCCAGGAACACGATTTATTATAATAAAAAGCTCTACTTCATTAATAAGTTGTGGAGATATAAGCCATTTATTATTGAGCAAAGGGCAATCCCTACTAAGTATGCCCAGTATACCCTAGGTATACCCCAGGTATACACAAAATTTTATTTGATATTTGGATAGAGAAACGGTCCAGGAACACGATTTATTATGATGAAAAGTCCTACTTCATTAATACGTTGTAGAGATGGAAGCCATTTAATATTGAGCAAAGGGTAATCTCAACTAAGTATGCCTAGTAGACCTAGGTCTACCCCAACTTTTTTTAAAAGTATAAATCCATTTGATAAGTAAAATATATTTAAGAATATAAGAATAGAAAGAGATAAGAGTCAAGAAGAGAGAAAGGGATACAAGATAAAAGAGACAAGAGAGATCTAATATAAAAGATAAAAAGGGGAGCAGAGAAGAAGATATAATAATAGTATATATAGAAAATCGAAAAGAGGAGAGAAGAGAGGTAAAGGTTCTATGTGATGAAGAAGTGTGATAAAATTATATGGCCTAAATACATGGCATTATTTGGATATGTATGGGGCCCAGCAGCTATAAGCCAATAGGCAAAGTCTTGTTGTATTTCGATTGCTGTAAGGTGGTTTTTACTATAGTCAGCGTGGCGTATGAATTAGGGCTTACGCCGATAGGCTGCCCAGCAGAGACGGTACAAAAGGTCCTCATATGAACCACTACAGTTCGACCAGTTACCATCATGGAAGATGGTTTGGTTCCACTGGTTAGGCACAAGGCATTTCTTGCAAAAGCCCTCCCTTACTGGTTTTACACATGCTGGGTTAGAAACATAGTGGTCACCAAAGCAACGGAAACATTGACCAATATGAGCAATGCACTGGAGAGAGGTTGTATGCTCACTTTCGGCTATGCCAAAAGTAAACAAGCAAGGTATGCAGTGATCCTTGGCTATCATCATAACTGACTTAAAATTGTCAGCATCCGATATATACTTTCTCTTTCGAGAAAGAACAAGATATGCATCAGTAGTGGTCGGCTAAGGAAAGGTTTATAGTTTAGTACAAAATGCTGACAGAATAATAGCAAAGATGACTTTGTGTATACATACAATTGATGGTGGTGTATGATCGATAATCCAATCGGTTGAAGGGCGGACAGTAGTAGAAGGAGTGAGAGGAGAATCTACAAATAGGTTGGAAGCTTAAGTGTCTAATAATTTGAATAGTAAAATGAAACTATGTGTATACCTTTGATTTTTTGGCAATAAGAGCAAAGCTCGACATTACCGTACCCAAAGCAGTTGGTAACTTGAGAGTCTAAAGACTCTGCAAGTATCTGCCGGATGCACTTTGATGCTAAAATGACATCGTTGAATGCTTGCCACGGGGATAGGTGCCGGCTTACTCTTTTCAGACTTTGTATTTGTTTTTGTTGGCGTTCAACGTCAACAAAGTACAGACACCGAGCAGGAGAACCATTGCGACCAGCGCGACCAGTTTCTTGTGCATAATCAAGGATTGATGCAGAGCCACCAAGGTGGATAATTGTATCAATGGTTGAGCAATCGATGCCAGCACCGAATGCACTTGTTGCAACCATGATCTGAAGCTCACTGGAAACGAAGGCAGTGGTTCTTTCATGTTTTTCTTCCACCGATAGATTACGATGGAAGTATGATATTTTTCTTGCTTGGTGTGGTAATGCTTGTTTGAGGCGATTACTGATTGATGTTGTTGCATCTACTGCAGAGCAGTAGATGATCGTTGATGATGGTGTTGATGATGGTGAATACTGAGCTTTGAGGTGTGATATTGCTGCAGCTTACGGATTGTTGGTGTTGATGATTTGGTAACAGAGGTTTGGTCGCATTGACGGCTGTCGTATGATTGAAAGGTTTGCGCCAAACATGTCACGTAGGTCGGATTCAAATGATGGTGGGATTGTTGCAGATAAAAGGAGGAACGGAGGAAAAGGAGTGTGTAAAGTGCCGGACGGAATGAACGCCATGTAATTGCTGTATGCACCTCATCAATTACGACTCGGGCTAGCTGATTGTGGTCGTTTATTTGCTAGACAATATTCAGGAACCGTTGACTGCTGGCATGTTCTACTTGGACGATGATGATGTTGGGCAAGGGGTGCTGCATAGTAATATTGGGAGTGTATTCTATTACAGACAACCCAGCTTGCTGAATGCGCCGTTTCATATCGGCCAAAAGTGCAACGAGAGGAACAACAACAACTGTTGTCAAGTGCGGCTCGACTAGTGCAGGGACAAGGAATAGCAGGGACTTACCAGAGCCTGTAGGTTGGATGGCAAGTATGCTAGATTTCCGGGAGATGACGGTGGTGACAAGCTGTGCCTGTTCAAATGAGCAGAAGGAAGGCGACAGCGAGTTGGTTGCTTTACTAAGTGCGTTAAGCAGCTGTGGTGTGACAGGTAATCCTACAGTAGAGAGCAATATTAATTATGATTTTTTACATGAGATCAATGCAAAAAAGATATACCTTGCTGAGGTGCTGGTGATGCGGAAGTAGTTGTTGACTGGCGCCTATCCAAGTCATTTTGCACTTGCAAACGGTGTTGCATCTCGAGCAATGCAACGTTCTTAGCAGCAGCAACATTTGCCAGAAATTGTCCGTGTTGGACAGCAACTCTATCCTGCTCCGCCTGCGGAATAGCACCCGGAAAGAGATGACGCCCAGGGCCGACACCTATAATTGACGAGTGGTAAATACATTTCAATGATAGGTCGTGAAAGTATGAGAACAAAGATAATATACCAAGAAAATCATGCCACATTTCTGAAGCAATAAAGTACTCTTCTATTGCTACAGAAGAGAGTGCATTCGAGTCTGTTGTTGCCTATGCGTAATTGTGTGCGGCAGTTCTGGACGAGTGGCCTGCCTGCAGGTCCACTGTATAATTTCTGCCATGATGTGCAAGCAAATGTTGGATATGATACCGTGAGAATGCAACGGACACATGGCGATAATCTTGAAAGCTCAAACGAGAAGGAAGGAGCAGATGCCAGCGGGCTTGGAAATGCGTGCGGAGAAGGTCGGCTGACATTTTTGCGCCGTTGCGCACAAAGAAGTATGCCATTGTATGAAGCATTTTATGGTTTGAATTTGAGCATTCATAAATGAAGAGGCTAGCGAAATAAATAGAGTTAGACATTGCATGGTAGACTTTTAGAGTGAAATGTAAATACCTTTCTATTGGTCGGATAAATATGATATAGTGGAGGAACAAGCGGACAAGAGGGTGAGGAATGAAACGGGCAATAGCTTGGTCGCGTTGCTTGATATTTCGTGTTTTCTGATATGTAGTTAGAAGCATCAATGTTTGATGTTCGTTTGACCAATACAGGTTGCGTGTTGTGTGTGTTGTGTTTTGAAGTAAGGTGCCTTCTAGCTCTGTGGCCTGAGCTGTTTGGCCATATGTAAGATGCATAAGCATGAACAAATCACGTTGGATTTGTTCAGCTGTTGTAATGAATGATTTGATGGCAGACGGATTGTATGTAGTGCTGTTATTACTTATATGTTGAATATAAGTACGGGATAGGTGTGGTGTGCTGTGTATGTGGTGAAGGATGTGTCCAAATTGATGCCGGAGGTTGTTTTTTGGGTCGGTAAAAAATGAATAATTGATATCACGATTGTTGAAATCGTCGTACAGATGTATGGGTTTGTTGTTGCGGAATTGAAGGAGGTTGTTGAGGTCGATGTTAAAGGTGAGTTTGTTGATGTTTTGCTGTATACTGGTTTTTAAGTTGGTGACTAAGAGACGTAAATCATGTACATGAATGCGCTCGTTTGTTTCGACCATAGCAAGTGACAGATGGTTTGTGTGTGGTGTCTATGTGATTTTGTCAGTGACAAATTCTGACGAGTCAGAGATTGACGCAATCCAGCTGTATTCGGCAATAGCAGCATATGCAGACGACTTGCCATCGATCAAGTAATCTTGGTAATTTGTGGTAAAGCTAAAAAAGAGTTTGTTATGCAAGTGTGGAAGGTTTAATGTAGAATAGAAAAAGCAAAGAACTTACACTATAATTAAGTTTTGGTTTGTATGGCGTGTGTAAATATCGTTAAGTAAAAGTAAGCGGAACCAGTACTTGACTTGGGAGATTAAAGGTGCAATAGAGGTTACGTCTTTAATTGCCCATTAAACTGCAAGGATGAAGCAATGATGAAACGAGCAATAGTATATCCATTGGTTGCGACATCAAAACGTTTTTCTTCTTTCAATAATGCCATCCACAATTTACAGATTTCTGATTCAATCTGTGCGGCGGTGTGTGTTGATAATTGGGCTGGATTGACATTTGTGGACAGTGTTGCGATATTGGTGAGTATGGTAGAAATAGTGGAAGACCAGGTACCCAAAACAAAAGACCAGTGAGGAGAACGACGGATGCGAAGTAAGAAGGTTAATAGATTGGCGCCAGTTTGGGTATACCGTTGGATAGTGGGCCGCTCAAGTTGGTTGAATCCGTGATCAGGGAGTGGTTCGGAG